ATACAAACCTTAAGTTATTTAAAAAATTACAAGTGGGGTGATAAGTTACCAATGGCACAAATTTTCCTCACCAACATCTGTGACCCTCTTCCTTTGGCAAAGGAATGGAACACAAAATATTAGGGCTAAATGTGACTTTTACTGTTTTCTAGTCCAATCTGCACTTTTCAATCTTTTGTGTAGATTAAAAAAAAAAAAAAACAAAAACAACTGATGCCTAAAGACGTGGAGGACTTGGTCAAGACCCTGTAACTGGTAGCTGGAAGCACACCAGGTGGAGAGGCAGAGATCACATTGGTGGCAACAGTAATAGTCAGAAATCTTGGGCGATGTATTACTTGACAAGCAGAATGCAATTCTGGAACCAGAGGTGCAGTTCTCATGCAGTTACTGTACAATGTATCTGACTGACTTGAATCTACTCCCTTAGAGCCTGTGTAGACCCACTGAAACTGTCTGAAAGGAACCCACAGTACTCTGCCATATTTAAAGAGGTTTGCGCATGCTGGCACTTTCTTGTTATAGCTCCTGTTCTGTCCCCACAGAATGTCTTTAGGAAAATCCTACAATGAAATGAAGTTACGTTTGGGAATTCATTTGCTATCCTCATTGGTTTCTATTACTCCTTACTAAATCTATGATTTACCTGAGATATAGTTGGTGTATCTAAATTTAATTATCAGCCTCTAAGCTGGGAGATAGGCACTTCATCAGTTCTCTCTTGTTCCTTCCATCATCATGGTTCAAACTGCTGGGCCAGGCTTCAGGAGTGTGGTTACCGCACTGTATGTCTTCATCATTTAACCACTATTCTTATCTTTTTATAGGAGGGTAGTACTTTCTCTTTTGGTTAAGAAACTAATGACACTGGTGTATACCTTACCAGTTACAAATTGCTACTATGCATGCTACTAATGGCTACAAGTCTGTTCTCTAACTAATGGCTTCTATTTGCTTGTTGGACAAAAAGTATGTGCTAAGCGTATGGTTTAGCTCGGTTAATCTCTGTTTATATCAGTTTTATCTTAACAGGTTAATGAAATTGTGATGCGTATCAAATAAATAGGTTCAACTTTTATCGCACACACTTTTTATATAATGCAGCTTTTAATCATTTAACTTTCAAGTTTAAAATAAAAGTAGTTATATGCTTTGAATATCAAAGAGCAAAGTGTTCCCAAGAACTTTGTAATATGTATCTCTTGGAGATAAAACGTATACATAAGATAAAAAGTATCCCTATTAAGAATTTATAAAAGGATCTGATGAAGATTTTGATCTATAATTTTGCATTACTTTCAACTGAGAGTCTGTGAGTTTATTTCTCAGAACCCCAGGATAGTCTACTAACATGACTGCATAAACTTATGCTTCATCTTTATCTTTGTCAGTATTATCTTTTATGCAATATGGTAGTCCTTAGGGAGCATTAATTGCTAGCTATCTTTTAGCTACTTAAGGGCAATCTTGGAACAATTACCATGTGTTTATGGGAATGAGGCATTCATTTATTTATTGCCTTTCTCCTAAAAATCTCATAGCACTTGAGTCAAGAAGATAAGAGTATAAATATGACCACTTATCTTTGTGGGAATTACCCCTTTCTCTATCTCTACCATCCACCTCAGCAACAGCCCAGCACCCTTATATGGGCTCACTTTTACAAGTTCAAACTGTAATGATGATTGCCATTCAAAAGCATATTGCATCTGTCCTTTCTCAACTATCTTTTCCTCCCTTTCCTTCCCCCCACTTCTTTCTTTTTTCTTGAAGTGGAACAAGGACCCTGACTTAGGAAGCATACAAATCTGGCTTTGTAGAGGTCACTGGTCCCATTTTTAGACAAGATTATTAGACATATGAAACAATCACTGCATTGGGGAGTATTTCAAATGGGCAGACACGTGCCACAGACTATCTCACTAAACCTATTCAGTTGATTTAGGATAAATAAATCTTACTACTTCATAGAGCTATATAAATCTTTTCCCTTTTCATTACTTTTATCCATATCTATATCTATATCTATATCTAGCATATAAAATATATGGCAATATGTGACATAACAAAGTCATATAATGTGATTTACCAGAGGGAGAAAACAAAGATCTGATACTTTTCAACCTCTGAATTTATTGTTTGACACATTTCCAGATATTACAAGCAAAAATACATATAAGAAGACCTCAACATTATATTTAAATTATTATTTTAAATGCTTTGCAAAGATTCATGACCCAAATTCAAAAGTATATTTTTCCTTCCAGAGAGATATAAGATAGAAGGAGGACTTGAAAAGTTCATGCCAAATTAACGCCAAGGAAGTCAGACAATATAAACAATAATTAACATATTGTTTCTACTCTCTCTTTCTATCTCTTTTAGATTATAGTCTTTGCTAGCTATTATGGCATAGCTGGTTCTTTACAAATTTTACATTTTAGAAGTAATTTATTTTACTAACCTAAATATTTTCTCTATTTTAAAAAGTGGTATTATATTATTTTATTCATATTGTCATTTATTTAATGTCACTTAATTCAGATAAGATGAAGATAATTAAAGTATAAAACTGATTCATTCACTATGATATAGAAAATGGAAAAAAAAATCAACCCAACACACACACACACACACACACACACACACACACACACACACACCCCATGGGCTTTAGAGGTCTTTTTGACTCAGCCTGAATACCAGCCATGCTACTTGCCATACTACTGGATTAGAGGTTTTTCTGCAGGTTAATTAACCTGTCTAAGCTTCAGTGGACAATGATACTCATAGTAGCTGCCGTGAAAATGAAATGGTCAACTGTAGGTGTAAAATGTCTGGCACATAGCACCAATAATGGCTATCGTTTAATGTGGCTTATTATGACACATACTATGCTAAATGCTTTATATATTAACAAATTTAATCCTTACAGTATTACTATAGAGTAGGAGTTATTTCGGTCTTATTTTCACAGATGTGGAAGTAAAGGAGAGAGATGGTAAATAATTTACCTAAAGCTGTATAACTCTTAAGTGGCAGGAGTTTTCAAAACTCAGTGGCTTAAACATTTATCTTCTCTCATGATTTTATGGGTTGACTGGATTGAGGTAGGTGGTTCCTTTGCTCTAGAAGATGTCAACTGCAGCTGTAGCCATCTGGCTTTGGTGGTGGTGGTAGTGGGGAGAGGTGGCAATGTCTGAGATGGTTTATCACAAGCCTGGCATTCAGTGCGGACTGTCTGTGGGCAGCTCAGATAGACCTGTCGACTGGACATTCTACTTTTCCTCCTCTTTGCAATACTGCTCGAAGCTTCACCATAGGGACTGGTTTTGCTCAGTGTTGGAGGCTGGGTTACAGGAAGCAGTGTTGTAAGAGGACAAGCCCCAAAGTGCAAACGTGTAAGATGCTTCCACACAGACAGACACATGGACAAGTCCAGAACCAATGGAGAGAGCAACACAGGACATAAATACCGGAAGGCCCCATTAAGGTCACTAAAGTAACAGACCAGTGCAACAGCTGTCTTCAAAAGTACACTTTTGGGTCTTCCAGACTGTCAAGGCTAACTGTTATCTTCTGTTCCCCTTGGGCAGCATGTTGGTCAATGCCTTATGAGAGGGACTTAGGAGTTTCATACACATACTCAGTTGTATGCTTTTAGTAAGCTTTTATACTTGCCTGTTTTCAAATATGATGTGAAGTTTTAATTTTATATAAGTGGTTTAAGAGAAATACCAGTTTTATGAAAAAATGCTTCTCAAAGATTTAAATTACATTTTTTTGTTTTTTTTTTTAAATGCCATTTGCTATTGGGTTTTATAAGTTATAATTTTTAGTGAATAAGGAGAAATGAGTTAAGGTTTATGTCCTGTCATTATTCAAATAAAAGTGTTTATATAGCAATCTATTTTTTAGAGTATAAGATTAATTTTATATTAAGAAATATTAAGAAAGTTCAAAGGGATGGCTTTGAGCTCACTATTTCTGTAAAAACAGGATTTTTTCCCCTTGAATTTTTAATTCTTTTTTCCATTTTATTTTATTTTTTTTCCAACGTTTATTTATTTTTGGGACAGAGAGAGACAGAGCATGAACGGGGGAGGGGCAGAGAGAGAGGGAGACACAGAATCGGAAACAGGCTCCAGGCTCTGAGCCATCAGCCCAGAGCCTGACGCGGGGCTCGAACTCACGGAACGCGAGATCGTGACCTGGCTGAAGTCGGACGCTTAACCGACTGCGCCACCCAGGCACCCCTTCATTTTATATAAATTAAAGTAATTTAGTTCTAATGGCATTTATGTAGATGGGTTCCATATAAAAATGTTTGTTTAGAAGTTCTACTTCAGATAAAGCATCCTTATTTGTATATGAAATTTATTTCCAAGCAGAAGTATTTTACCTTAATGACCTAAAATATTTTAACTGTTTCTTCTATTAATATTGAAATTTTAACAGCTTTAGAAGAAGTAAACAGCTTATAGAGATTAGAAAAATATGTAGCCCTTTACTTTTGATTCATTACTTCAAGTTAAATTAGCAAATGATTTACAGGTAATAAATACCATTTCAAAGCTGTTTGGTGACCAGTGCAAACTCTGATAATGTCATAGCCTAATATCAAGATTCTGAGGGGTTCAGAAGATGATATCTGAACTACATTATCTTCTTTTTTAAAATTTTTAATATTTTTTATTTATTTTTGACAGAGAGAGAGAGAGAGAGAGAGAGCGGACAGTGAAAGGGCAGAGAGAGGGAGAAACAGAATCGGAAGCAGGCTCCACACTCTTAGCCATCAGGGGGCCCAAACTCATGAACGGTGAAATCATGACCTGAGCTGAAGTCAGATACTTAACCGACTGAGCCACCCAGGCGCCCCCTGAACTAGATTATCCTCTTAATGGCTGTGATATTGCTAGTGAGGTTTTCGTTTGTTTGTTAATTTTAAGGAACTAAGATAGAGATATACAAAAGAAGTAATGAAGAGAATCAGTACTTACTTTTTGTGACAACACCTTCCAGTCGAATGATATTTGGGTGGTCAAACTGACCCATGATACTAGCTTCTCTTAGAAAATCTCTTCTTTGTCGATCCATGTGGCCACCTTTCAAAGTTTTGATGGCAACGGGGATCTCTCTTTTCCCTGGTGTCTTCAGTCGCCCACTACAGACTTCTCCAAATTCTCCTTAAAATATGAACAAAAGTAGTTGTTTAAGCAGAATACTTACATTCCAGAGGAACTGTCATACGGTACTGTTTTTTTTTTTTGTTTTAACATGACTGTCAACTGTGTCATTTCCACATGGAGATTTCTTTCTTAAAAATTAAACTTATAATGATGATGTGCTTGATCAGCATCATTTATAATGAATAATGGAATGCACTTTCATATGGTAAGGCACAGGAACTGCCATTGATAGATCTCCCTGATCTGCAGAGAAATTATGACTAGCAGAATGGGTGATGCTAATGTAATTCTATAGAAAAGCAATCACTGTATAACATTTCCTGTTCCTGTTCTCAATACTGAAATATGGGCCAAATGTCTGCTCTATTCAGGGAATCCATCAGGCATGTGTAGCTGACTTGATCCTGCAGACCATATATCTGAGCTTCACTACCACCAGAAATCAATGCTAGGGTCAACTGGTACATGAACATATTGAAATGACTACACTGAACTCAACTATAATAGGTGATTATACAGGCTAAATTACAAGTCACATGGTTGGAATACAAACATAGTAAGATAATTTATGGCTCAGCAATGGCTTTATTGGGAAGTAATGAATAGTAGGCAAATATTTATCACAAATTTAATATACATATTTAATATATATATTAAATATACATATTTAATATGTATACATATACATATATGTATATGTATACATATACATATACATATACATATATATGTATACATATACACATATCCAGTGCTACAGTGCTGTGAGTTCAAAGAAGTGTAAGACTTGGTCTCTGTTCTTAGGAGCTTACAGTCTAGCAGAAGAGTTTAGCTGAACAAATATAACACTCAAGAACATAAGAACCAATCTCTGTAAATGGTGTATTAGTTAACTAAGAACAGTGGCAGCTAGAAGGCTTCCTGGAGCAGGTGAAACTTTTGCTGATGTTGAGCGATAGGTACGATTTGGATATTCAAGAAAAGCAGTAACGTTCCAGGCAGGGGTGCACAGAGGGAGCGAGAAAAATGAAGACAATGTTTCAAAGGTCAGAAGCCAAGGGTGGCAAGTGAGGTTATCGTGGGAAAGAAGTTTGGAAGTTTTCTTAGTGCAATGCAATAAATTCAATAAAACTTGAAATTCCAGACTTAACTTTTCTGAGGCCAATTACCTACATTTGCTTAAGAGCATGATGCTTGATCACCAATTTATTAATCTATCAAGTAAAGATAATAATAAAATCTTCCATAATTCTATAATGTCCCTTCCTCATCAGGATACTGGGAAGATCAAAAGTGATGCTATATATAAAAGTGCTTATCAACTGTAAAGTGCTGTTCATGTACTTTAAGTTATATGAATCTTTGGAATGGTGAAAGAAATGAAAATTAAAGTATCTTCAGTTAGTTTATTAGCTAGCAGTTCTGGCTAATAGTTCAATGTAATGTAAATTTAAGTGTAGAGAACCAAATTAAATTTTTGAAGTACCATAGATTTCAATTATCCTTATTTGGTCCAAAGAAGAACCAATTCATTATAATCAACTAAATATTGACTATACATGAATATTAACCACCTTCTGCTATAAATGCTAAGATATTTTTTAAGTGAAAAAAAAAAAACACTAGGAAGGAAATAAGCCAAAATATTGCTTCTAAATTATGTGTAAACATGTCTATTAGAAATAGAAAGCAGTCTAACAAGAGAGTTTACTCTATTTACGTTAAACCAACAAACAAGCAAATAGAAAACTCAGACTAGAGTGGGGTCCCCAAGTTCAGTGCATATGATATTAGAGTTTTATAAATCTTGTTTAATTTGACATCAAAACAAGAAAAGTCTGTTTTTACTTAATGATACTCTCAACCTGTTGGAGGTTAAATGTTTCATGTTGACAGGAAAAGGAGGCTGTAGTTTTTCAGTTTTGTAATTACAAAAAAAAAATTTAAAGATTTTCTCTCAGACATTAAAAAAATGGCAATTGGTAGAGATGTTTGACATTTTACTATTGAAGCTCTGAAACTTGAGAGAAAAGGTATGTACCTATGTCTAAATTAATGTCTTATACATCCAGGCCTACTAAGGTACTTCAAATTCCTTCTTGGACCACTGTGGTTTGTTATAATAAATATCCACAATAAAACAGATATTTCTTTTTTTTATTTTGCCTTAATAAGTTTGCTAGTGAAAATAGAAGCTCACCAATATTTTAAAACTCCTCACCTGTCTTGAGCCCATAATGCAAGTGATTTTCTGTTAGCATTTCATAGTAATCCAAATAAACTTTTGAATGTAGTGAAATAAATAGAAAACACTGGTGTTATTTCATCAAGACAGGCAGAGTGGTAATTTTCTTTGTTTTTTTTTTGTTCTCTGAAATTTATGTATCCTATTATCACCAGGTAGGTGTTTTCTTCATGTCAAACTTTGTACCATCAAGCTGTTATCACACTTATTTCAGTGACACTAAATATGGTTGCCTCAATTAAAGATCTGAGACTCCTAGTGCATTCTTCAGGCAAAGCCCAAAAATTGCAGTCAGGAAATGTATTAAAACCCTTATCTGTGGAAGGCCTGAATGTATAAGACATATCAGAGAGGAAAAAATAATCTAAATCAAATGCATAGTTTAAGATATTGCCAAAGGCTGTTCCATTATATTATTGTCCTTGTAGCAGGAGTTGAGGCCCTGTACATAACCATCAGTAAGATAAATTATTCTTCACTATGATGTGTGAACATTTTTATATACTGGTTAGTGCATCATTAACTCATTGACTACAGGAATATGGTGCTAACTATAGTTTTTTTTCTTTTCCAATCATTGTCGCCATCATTATTACACAGGTAGCACTTATACATTGCTTACCATGAACCAGATCTAAAAACTAAATATATATTTTGATCTTGACAACAAACATTTGTGGTGGGTACCATTATTATCCCCACTTTGCAGATGAGAAGCTGAGATACATGGGCTAAATAACCTGCCTATCGTGACACAACTAGAAAGTGGTAAAACTGTAATTTGAACTCAGGAAGTCTGGCTCCAGGGTCTGTGCTTATAACTACCATTTAGTGGTGTCTGGGATGTTTATTATTATTAATATTATGTTATTATATTATAATAACAATTAGTATTGGATTTTCCATATAAAGTCTACATAACCAAATTAAAACTGTGAGAGAATGGTCGAGGTGGTGAGGGACCATCCATTTGGGGGACTGTCACCTCACAATCTCTTAGAAGATTTCCAAAATTTGCTCTTCCATGACTGAGACTCTGGTTTCCCCTACCTCCAACCCCTTGAGAGTCAATGAAGCCAAGAGCCACACTCCTGATGGCTTTTTAGAACATATCTCTCAGGTATAATGAGGTATTTCTTTCCTTACACTTGCTATTTCCCTCTGATAGGAATGTTCTCCACAAAGTGTCCTCTTTCCTCCCTTGTCCATCTTCCTCAGTCCTCTATGGGGATGGTTTCTCATAAGCAGTAAAGGCCAAGATTTGAGGTCCCTCCTGCAGAAAACTTGCTCTGATAAATCCATCTAATTTAATCTCCACTACTAGCAGTCCCTTCTAAATGAGAAAGAAAAAATTAGCAGCTCAACAATCAGAAGCTGTCCTCGGTCTCACAGTTGGGCTATGTAACTCTCCTATCACACACTATACCAGCCTTGACAAGGTTACTCTGAGACCATGACAAAATGAGACAGAGCAAGGTCACTGTGTACTTTGCCTAAGCACAGACAAAAGGCAAGGTCACATGCCAAAATACTAAATATGCCCTCCTCTCTTGGCTAGAATGAATAATGGCTCTTTCTTCACCAATTCTATCCTTATCCTTGTTCTTGTCTCTCCTCTGTGGAGATAAGATTCATTAAGATATTGTGGTGTAAGTCCTAAAATTAAAGCCCAATATTATGTGCTGTTTTAGTATCTGGGGGAAACTGGGAAGGCCTCAAACAGCCTTCCCACAGGCTCTCCCTCCCACTCAGCTCCCATATATATGGTTCTGTAGCCAAATATCCCTCTTTACCAAATGGCTCATATATAGTTCTTCCTTATCCCCAGGTAGCAGGTTTCACTTTCCTGTCAGTCTGTGGAATGATTCAAACAAGCCAATCACATCCTCCTAAGGGAAACAGAGGGTGCCTTATCCTCTTGGTACTACAAAGCCTGTCTCTTACAGCCTCCCTGGTTGTTTGGTAGGTTCCCAAGTGCAACCTCCAGGTGGCCCTGTGTAGTGTGTGGTGTCCTCTTCCTCCCTGGGCTGTGAGTACATGTAATTGATAAATATCTACCAACCTCACCTGCCTAACATAGGGTGTTGTGTTTTTGGCATTCCATGACTCTAGGGTAAGAATCTCTACCTCATCAACAGGGTGAAGCACTGTTCCTCAAAAAATTAAAAAAAAAAAAAAAAAGAAATACCATGTGACCCAGTAATTCCACTACTGGGTATTTACCCAAAGAAAATGAAAACAGGATATTGAAGATATATCTACACTCCCATGTTCATTGCAGCATTATTTATGATAGCCAAGATAAGGAAGCAACCTAAGTGTCTATCAATTGGCAAATGGATAAAGAAGATGTATATATACAACAGAGTATTACTCAGCCAATAAAAAGAATGAGACTTTGCCATTTGCAACAACATGGTTGGACCTAGAGGGCATTATGCTAAGTGAAGTAAGTCAAACACCATATTATTTCACTTACGTGTGGAATCTAAAAAACAAAATGAACAAATAAAGAAAAAAGCAGAAACAGACCTATAAATACGGAGAACGAACTGGTGATCACCAAAGGGGAGAGGGTAGGGGTATAGGCAAAAAGGGGTGAAGGGGAGTGGGAAGTTCAGGCTTCCAGTTATGGGATGAATAAGTCACAGGGATGAAAGGTGCAGCATAGGGAATATAGTCCATGGTATTATAATAGTGTTTTATGGTGACAGGTGGTAGTTACACTTGTGATGAATATAGCATAACACAT